CCAAGTCTATATAGATTATACATCCAGTGTTTCCGATGGTAAGGAGAATCTTCTAACTACGGCCAATAATCAGGGGCCGTTCTATCGTTACACACACCTGGCTCATCCCCAGTAGAAAGGCACAGGGCTATTACGCATAGAACGGCATTTGAAATCAAGACCAGACAGCCTTATTCGCCTCCACAAATTCCCTAAACCGACGCGGCTCTTTTCCAGCCACCGTCCTGATGACATCGTTGGTGCGGTCCTCGCTTCCGTTCCGGATGGCTGTGTCCATGGCCGCCAGCACCGCGGCGTACTCGGGCGGCGCCCCGATTTGCTGATACCGTCCTGCGAGCTCCGCCTCAGTGAGTTCGTGGTACGTGATTTTGCGCCCGAGGACAGATGTAAAGATTTCGGCGAGCTGTGTGTGTTTGAGTCAGAAATTTCATTGGCCGTTGTGTGGAAGAAAGGGGTGAGGAAAAATCGGGAAGTACTAGAGTCAATGCAATGATAAGTAAGGTGAATACGAAGACACTTACATCGGTATATTTCAGCAGCTCTGGCCCCAGAACCAGGTAGTCTGTGTTGGGAGGCTCGGGAGATGTTAAGGCGCGGAAGCCAACTGCAGCGATGTCCTCCGCTGAGACCCAGGGGATCCTGCCTGGTCCCGTGGCGGAATATAATTTGTTCTCTTCCTTAATAGTCTTGATATGGTAACCTTCCGAGAAGTTTTCTGGAATAGGAGTGATGGTTTGTCAGCCGTGATCTCTATCCCGATCCTGAAAAAGGGTGAAGTGATGGTAAACCACGTTATTAATGCCCAAATGCATTACCCCTGAATCGACACAACCGCACCCCTTTCTCAAAATCACATTTCATGCAACATGTTTAGGTCTGAGGTAATCTTCTGAGTTAGTCATATACTTACGCATGAACCAAGTCGGCCTTAGCACAGCCCATTCGATTTTGCCCTCGTTGCCTAGCTCATGTAGACGCTTGTGCGTCGCGCCCATTAACGCACCGCCTTCCTCCACCGAGCTAGCGCTCAACAGCACGAAGCGCCGAACTCCCTTAGCACGAGCGATATCGATGAATTTGATAACAGGTGACTGATCTGGCGAGAGAGACACAACGACGAAGATGGCCTTAATCGGATTTGCGAGGATAGGCTCCCACGTCGATTCATCGTCCCAGTCGAACTTGACACCAGTGGCGCCCGTAGGTGCTTTCGCTGACCGCGATGCAACGAGGGTCGGTACACCGGCCTCTAGGAGCAGTGGCACGAGGCGACTTCCTACCTTGCCTGTGCCGCCTAGTACTAGAACTGAGTCAGACTGGGTTCCTGCCATGATTACCTAAGTATTCTTAAGAATGTGGTGTTTATGGTTTAAAGGGGGCAGCTTGCAAAAAGAAGATTTTGGAGGGAGAAAGCAACTGTTGAGTAGAAGATGATATCATTAATGTTGCACCCAGGTCACCTTATATTTAAGTATTTTCACATGTGTCTAAGGACAACGGTATAATACTTGATCTCTTTATGAATAGCACGCTAACGTTACTAGGACAGATCCTACGAATGTAAGCGACCCTTGCATTAGGTAATCCATTTCTCGCATTTATAAGCCAACCAATCAGAAGGGAGAAGCTTACTCGATTCCGTAACTGCCCTGGAAAGAATTGCGCCGTCCTCCGCTGTGAAGGAAGAGGATCTCGGGCTTAGGTCGGAGTTTATCGGTTCCATAAAATACGGTCGAAATATTATACCGATGTGGTCCGATCGTAACGGGGTTAGGAGCTTTAGACAAGACCATTGGAAGTGAATCTCCATGAGACTCTAATTGAAGCATGGTGAGAACATCATTTTCACGACGATGGGGAAAATATTGTTATATTCTTGGCAGTCCGTAGATAACTTTTGAAATTGTATATAATTACCTAATGCTCTGCCCACTCCTAGGAATCATGCCCATCAAATAGACAGACAGCGAAACTGCATTTATACGATCACTTACAAGGCAGATAACAGCGCACGACAATGGCCGCATCGTACGATATCCAGACATACCTACTTGACAGGGCAAATGTGCACGACACAGTAATCCGGCTCGTAAGTAATCGTAAACCTAATAATCTCTAGTAACTTTTAGCCACATAAGTGACTAACGCTTAGCAACAAATAAGACTTTGAACCTAGACTTGAAGTCGTATGAAGGTCTTGTTAAAGACGTCTACGCTCCACAGGTGGTCGTCGATTACACATCCATGTTTGGTGGACAACCGATGGAAACGACGGGTGAGGAGTGGGCTAAATCTCTCGAGCCAATGATGAGTGCATTCGACGCGACGCAACATGTAATCGAGTAGGTCGCTCTTTCTACCAGTATCAGGCGTTTCTCGGTCAATTCTGGAGGCTGACGTCAATATCTCAGGGGCCTGTTAATCGAGCTTCCGCAACCCGTGAAAGGGGCCGCCAGGCCGGACAAGTGCAAAGTCACCGCAAATGTGAACGGCCATTTATGCCGTAAGGCGGCACGTGGCGGGCACATGATGCATAATGGGGTAAGCATTCCCCCGTGCCGTCTTCATATGACAATTGGAGTTATCTTCATCATGAGATTGCTGACTGAGGATCTAAATTAGGGCCGGTACGTTCTTGAACTTGTGCGACTACCGGAGCTAGAACAGAAGGGACAAAACCCGTGGAGAATTAGCAGACATGCCGCCGTCCTGAGTTGGGAAGATGGAAGCCCTGATGTGATGAACTCGGTCTCAAGCATTGGGCATTAAAAGAGTCTAAATAGGCTTCACGAAGAATGGACAGTTGACAATTTGAAAGCATACCGACAACGAAGCTTGTCTTCGATATGCATAAGTATAAAATTATTATTTGACAGAAATTCAGATGTATAGTCATTATAGATAAAAATGAAGTGACGCGGTCTTTACAGAAATTATGGTCTAGACCCCAAAATGTTATAGTCCAGGCGCCGGCGAAAGCACCTGTCTTGCCTCATCAGGAACCGCTGAAGAAAATACAACAGCCAAAAGTCCTGGCTAAGAACAGGAGGTTCCCAATTAGTATTTTTTTAATTAGATAAACTTGGTAAGACCTTACGGCTAGTATTTAGAGCCGCATCTAGCTTCGTAAACTACTAGTTTTCAATCGGCGGAATAGGGGGAAAGAAGCTTAGCTCAAGCCGCTAGTAACGTAGTCTCCCTATGGTTTTCAGCTGAGCTTCGAGATCAACAGCAGAGCTGTTCACCATTTACGCCATTTAATTTCGATAGCCAAGACTAAAACTAGCGGGAACATTGTTTGGTATTTATATGTATATCCTTCGCGCAGGATCTCTTCACTTGCTGGGTCTGTTCTCATCTCAGGTTGACGGTAGAGACGCAGTCTGTTATTTGTTATAATTTCTGTCGGTTTATCTGATCTTATTTACCGGCGTTTTGTAATTCATCTGTATAATATGTTGTTCAAGCACATCGTTTCTACAGCCGCCCTGTCGGCTATCTATGGGGTGGCAGATGCGAGCAGATGCAAACCCAGGACGTCGAGCAATGAACCAATCTCGACAAGCTCGTCCTATAGTTCTATCCCATCAAGCACGAGCACATATGCGGTCTCCGTCACTTCATCGTCTTATATCGCTTCTTCTACGAGTTCAGTGGCCATTTCGCCATCCACGAGTTCCGTAGCTATCCCCTCGTCCACGAGCTCGGTAGTTACATCTTCGACGACTAGCGAATCCTCATCATTTTCAAGCACAGTGTCGCCATCGACTGTCTCTGAGACAAGTTCTTCGGAAGTCTCATCATCTGCGAGCGTGACAGTGACTGAATCGAGCTCTTCAACCAGTAGTGTTGAAACTTCCTCCAGCACTATTTCGTCTGAGACAGCTTCGTCTACATCGGCGGAACCTACTCCCACTCCCACTCAAGTAAGCCGTAATATATAGGTTCAGACGAAGAGAATAAGTCACTAATCCCGCCATTAGTTTGTTGTGAACCCCGGCTTCGAGATCACAGACCCCCTCTCCTGGACCTTTTCAGGATACAACCTTGACACGACCGCATCTGGCTCCCTAGATACTGATGCGTACTCGGGCTCACGATCCTTTATCGCACAAGGAAAGCTAGGACTCTGGCAGATCGCTTTGAAGCAAACAGCTTCAGTCGTGGCCGGCCAGTCATACCTATTTCAATGTACGTGAAGCTGGTATCCGGCTCGGAACCATGGGCAACGTATGAAAGCTAACTTATAAAACCCAGACGCCCTGAAGATGGACCCGGCCGCGGGATGCGTCATGGACATCCTCATCAACAACGTGCGCACGAGACGGCCAGATTTAACGTCAAATGCCGGACGCTGGGCCACTTACACGGACACCTGGACTGCTACTAGCGATTCCGCCGCGATTTCGTTCAGCTCTCAATGCTACTCCGGTGGCCCCACGAACAAGCTATACTATGATGATGTCACCCTGACTACAGTCGAGGCTCCTCAGGTCTCGGATTAAAGAGCCCGTTAAGGCACAGTATTAAGCTGGATGCGGTACCTTGGGGAATGTATTTCGAATATGACGTTGATCCAGATTTCGTAGCTCACAAATAGATACCCAATTTGATGTATAGGAGTCTGACTCGGCACATTCTAATAGCCGAACTGTCAGCAAGTGCTTCCAAACTCATTCCGAAGGCCGACTCTGGTCAGATGCTGATGGGATTAGGCCTATTCAATAGATCAATTTGTCAAATATCCGATAAAATAGACTAGCCTAGGTGTTGTATGTGTTCTTAGGGGAAACATGCCTTGGAGTGTTGGGAATAGTTGAGAAGCAATTTCGTTACACTGATTCGATACTCCCAAGTTTAGGGGCCAACCAACCAACCAATCGGTTCGCCACGGGAGTGTTGAAATGGTGCCAGCGTAGGGCAATTATTCGGCAAACATGGCTCATGAATATAGTTGCCAATAGCAACCCCACCTTCCAATCAGGCGCTTAACGCTTAATGGTGAGATGGCCGAGTGGTTATGGCGCTGCGTTCAGGAAATCTGAATTCAAACATCGCAGTGGAGCAATCCGCGTGGGTTCGAGTCCCACTCTCATCAGCTTGTTTATTTTCTTTTTTTGCATATCTTGCTTGGGCTACCTACTTCGACGATATATTTTTGTTCATCTAGAGGATCCAGCGGACGTGAGCAAATCCAAGAAGCGGTAGGGCCACGTGATAACCCAGTGCTTAGTTAGGTACAAGATCCAGATAGGTACCCCTCCCGCATCGTACATACACAGATCGGCGATCTACAACTTCACCTTGATTCGAAACAGGGTCACAATAGGACTTCATCTGTACGGTACTCCTTAATCTCACACCTATTACTGTACCAATGCATCATAATGTCGTCAAATTCCTATTATTGTACGCTCATAAATACTGATTAGATAACGTTAAATGTCACAATTACTGGTCGTTCTCACCTACACATCGTCCAACGCTAGTTGTCTCATACATATATGGACGACAAATTGCGCTCTAAGTTGATAGTAGAGATAGAGACCCGTCTCTCCAACCACCCCAATCGTTGACAACTCTAATCATTTAACACTCTTGGGATATTGCTGCCCTTCGAGCAGGAAAATTCGGTCGTTAAAAGAACTAGCAATGCAATGGTAGAATTACCTTTCTAGCATTCCTCCAAATGCATTAAGCGATAATATGGCGACGAAAAGGGCGCCGAGTCCTGAGCTAGTCGGCAATCCATTCATCAAGAAGAGAAATCTGGAATGGAACTTAGAGCTTTCCGGCTCAACGCGTGACAGCGATGAGGGCAGCAGCTCTGATGCGCCACCCAATCAAAGTCCCGAGACAATTGAGGAGAGGCCAAGAGCACAGTCAATAGAGGCAGGCAAGGCCAAAGTCGAGGACCATCTAGGCTACTTCAGCGAGCTTGTTAAGAAGGCGACCCTCTCACCTTTTCCACCAGGTATGCCGAGGCTCTCAATCGAGGGATATCGCAGGCTATATGAGTCAAATTCGGGCAGCCCCAAGGGTGCACACTTCATCGTACACCAGCATGACCACCCCATCGCAGGCACGCATTACGATCTCCGATTGCAGATCAATGAGACGAGCAGTGCCTCATGGGCCATTATGTACGGGCTCCCAGGTGATCCGAATAGTCAGCGTCTGAACAGGAACGCCACTGAGACGAGGATCCACTGCCTTTGGGTGAGTATCTCAAATTGTGTAGCATTTATAGTATGTTTTACCTACCACTAACATTGTTCCCCCTAGAACCATCTCATTGAGACTGCCTCGGACTCTACTGGTTCCCTCCTCATCTGGGATACGGGAACTTATACCATTCTCCCATCAGGTGAGGGCAAGAGACGAGCCGATTCAAACTCACAATCCGAAGACGAAGATCCCTCGTCTGGCCTCACAGAGCAAGAGAAACTCCGCCGAGCCTTCCAGGCCCGCAAAATCCGCATTCGACTCAACGGCACCCGGCTACCACACAACTACGTGCTAAACCTCCGGCTCACCAAGAACGAGGACATAGCGGGCCGCGCTAAGAGCGCGCGCACGCCCACCAGGCGCCGCAGGCGAGGCGGCACGGGACGAGGGAGGGTCGCAACGAGAAGAAGGGGCAAAACGGCCGATCCCGTGACAAGCTCGGGTTCTGACTCTGAAGCTAAAAGCGGCGATGACGACGACGATTCGGAAATCGTAAACGCGCCGGCTGAGGAAGCAGATCATCAGGAAGCCGTCTCGGCGATGGAACGCGAGATCCGGGAGCTCGAGGACGAGCAGGTGCGTCGCGCGAACGCGTACGTCGGGGCGACGAATTCGATTGGCAGTGTGCACCAGCGGCGGTGGTACCTCTCGCTCGATAGGGAAGCGTGCGGGTTTGTGAGGCGGCGGAGAGCGGGGCGGGTGGTCTGGGAGCGCGAGTCCGAGGCCCGCAGCAGTGAGACGGAGGAGGGAAACGGAGATGCTGGTGATCACCGGCTTACATTCCCGTTCTACGTCCGCGGAGCCGAGGTGGAAAGGAGTGTTGTGACTGGACGGACTGGTGCCGAAGTGCTGAGGGACGAGGGTGTCGAGGGGTTTGTGAGGCGGAAGGGTTGGCGCCCTGTTTTGAATTGAAGTGGTCACCATTTCACAACTCTGGCCTCGCCCTGAAATACTCTTCCTTCGACAATCCACGCTGAAACCTTATTCGGAGTACAATACCTTTCCCCATCACGCAAGAGTATAGAATTGTGTCGTGAGACATCATCACAAGGCATTACGGTCGGTCTGAATCTAGGGGGATATCTTCAGATGTTCTCCGATAATGTCTGTCTAATGATACATCTTAGTACCCTACATCTCCATCCATCCAAAAAGATGCTGATTTTAGCTCTTAAGCATTGAAACTTAACCAGACACTATATCCCCCAATCCCCCAACGGTAGCCCGTAAATGGCTGTGAGGAGATATTCACCTTTACGTTTACTTGCCATATGACGAGCCAGACGACGAGGAATCGGAGTAATAGGATTTCTTGCCACCGCCGGAAGATCCGCTAGAAGAACCGCCGCTCTTGGAATAGCTGTCCTTCTTCGAGGAGCTCCTCTCGTGGTAGCAATCGCCGTCCTCGTCTTTCTTTACCTTGGAGTGGACGGTTCCTCCCGAGAGTATCTTCATGGCGATGATTTTTGCCTCGTCTGAGTTACCCATTGTCAGTGGTCTGTCGGCGAGTCCTTCGCCTAAGTTTATGGGTTATGTGACCAATGACGGAAGATTGATCGAACAACTACTTGGTACTTGGTTAGGCTTGTAGTTTGCTGGGAACGTTGAGATAGTCGGTCAGTTGTTTATTCCTGGTGGATAGATGTATTAACTGTGAACCTTTCAGGTAGAACTCTACATGGAATGGGGACTCGAGAATAAAATGGAGGATTTAGATTAAGGGTATCTTGAAGACATCTGGGGTACCAGTCCCATTCCAAATCAGATCGAGTAATTTCCACTGCGAGCTGTACGTGACAAGTTGCTCTCTCCCATAACGGCATTATTAATGAGTCTTTCCCTCATATCGGAGCTTGGACTTGAAGACTACTCACTATATACTACCTTTCGTGACTGGCGTTCGCAGTAGGAAGGAAACACGATATTATGTATTTAGAGCCGCTTGACAGAGAAGTGGGTGTCATGTCTTGATTACCATCTGCTTTACTCAAGTTGTACTAGGAAACACGACTTTTAGAATTAGAAATCAAGGGAATTAGACTAGATGACTCTTGATAGTTCAATACACACGTGGGTATGTCACAATGTTGACAGATGGAAATAGGTAACATGGCGTAGTCAGGATTTTACACCACTAGACTGTCCCAACAGAATTGACCCGATAAAGTAATAAGGTGAATTCCTATAGACTGTAGAGACTTGTAATAGTCGAGGCATCGCTCGTATGAATCAGTTTTTGGAAATAGCACTGCAATCATGACATATCTTGCTTCTTGACAGTTCCGAATAGAAAACCCGCATAAGCCGAGACGGGCTCATACACAATGTACACCTAAGTATTTTTCAGAATAGGCTCTCAAACCCAATAGTCCATTCATCGTTACTTCACCCACTAGTCAGCTCAAAACGCCTCGAACGGGATATCCTAGCAGCATGCGAAACCTGTTTAACTCCGCGCCTGATGCCACATAATATAATGTAACAACCCCGACTTGCCTCTTTTCATCCAACTTCATTAATGACCACAACACGCAAACCCCCGCCATCTCCATCCAAGTCGTATTTCAGGACTCATTGCTCATTCCCTAACCGTATCTCATAGGCGCCTGGCCCTGAGGTGGCCCTTGTCCCCAACCTGGGGGCGGACCACCTTGCTGTTGAGGTGGAGGTTGGTTCTGCATGGGTATATTATCCCCTCCACCGCCACGCCTCATGGCCTGGACGTCCGGTCGGTTTTCTAACGGTTGCGCAAAGTTGCAGATGTGGCAGACGACATCGTGGTAACCATGGATAGAGAGTGGGACGATGGGCTATCTTACATTAGCTCCCAGGCTCTAGGAATCTCTCGCGGCGGAAAGCGATATGGAACTTACAACGAAACAAAAAGTAAACCACGGATTGCTCTTTATGACATGTCCAGCCCAGTTGCCGCAGTTGTGGCATTGGCAGGTGATGCCTTCGTAGCCCTCGACTTCCTTTCGGAAGGTGTGCTCGCCGCAGGTGAATATCAAACACATAGTGAATATTTCGACTTATAAGGCAGTGGGTAGGTATCAGGACGGTATTGTCGCTTGCGATAACAGGAAGAGTCAAACAGCTACCAACTTGGGTAGGATTATGCGCTCGCGAAATCGATTGTCGACGGAATAGACGGCGTTAACGAGAGATTAATTACGGACTTGTAGATATTACTACGGTATAATACAGTAATGTGGTGATAGGATGAAGAAGAAGCTGTTATGAACTGGGACAATCCTTTATCCATGCTGCCGGTAAAAGTTCTCTCTCTTTCCTCGTGCCGAAATGCGCGTCACTTCGGGGCTGTGCTTGAAGGGCCAAGACAATGTTCCAGCTCAATCAGCTCGGCGCACACCTTCAGCCAATGACGTACCTCCAAAGTTGCTTGTCCTGCTTGTCGCAGCATTATCGATAGCGCCTCACCGGCACCATGAATCCGCTAACTGCCCCACTACGGTACAAACATCTATGTAGGTGCCTGAGCTAAAGTACCTAAGTACATGTACCTATCAAGTATCAATCTTATCAATGACATAAAATTTACAGCCTCGAAGCTTGAACCATAACACTACACCAGCGCTTTCAATCAACCGACTGACTCAAGATTCTCTACCAGAGAGCATGTTCGACAGCTAAAACACCATTCAAGGCTGGCAATGAGCACCAGCCCCATAACACCATGCTCTACGACCTCAACATCGCCTGGTCGCCCACGACCAGCGCCGCCGACCTCGAGCGCACGCTGCGCTTCAGTTCGCAACTAGGCTACAACGTCGTCGCGCTGAACCACACCCTCGACGCGCCCCTCCCATCCAACATCTCGAACCCGCTCCCCAAATTCCCATCATCCCC